ATACCCTTGTAGGGTTCTATGAAGCCACCCTTGTGTGTGCTAGTAAGCCGTGTGTGTCTCCACAAGCACACAGGTACAGCAAGGCAATCCATCTCCCTGCTCCCCACTCCTCCATCTTCTTTTCTCCAACTTGTAGCTGAACAGCTGCTGGAGACTGCTCTGTTCATTGTTATCGCGAAGTTCAGGGAACCTGAGACGGGTTTGGACTGTTTGTAAACATGATGACTGTAAGTGCTTGAGCACAATTTTAAAGGAATACTTTGCTGGGTAATGTATACTTGTTTGACCTAGATTAATTGTTACAAAAAATGAGAGTTTTTTATTCTACTTATATCTCTTTACTTTGGTCAGTAATTTAATGGGGCAGGGGGGTGTTGGTCTTGCACAGGGGCCCCTTGGTGAGTCATTCCATCATCAGTACAAACTCATAAAAATTTTACATCAGCTTAGAATGCTGAATGTACTATGTATTCTATATGTATCAGCAATAATGCTGTTCTTATATTGAATCCAAAGGAAAGCCATTGGACTGAGAAAAATCATAAGACTGCCAAAATGGCTCTGAATTGGTGATCACTTCCTTCATTACTATATTGACAAAGTTCAAGAGTATCTGTACAAATTAAATCAAAACTCCAGACAAAATAACAAGATAAAAATGAATAGCTCATTAGATGTTACAACAAGAAAACCAGCTTTGGCAGGACTATTCACCCTTAAAGTGACATTAAAGTCAAAGATTTTTTCCCCTCACCCCTAAGTTAATGTCAGCACTTACCTTAAATGATGTTTCTTAATCCGATCTTCTTTCCTGTCGTTTTCATCTGTCCCTCCAGCGCTGCTGCGGGTCTCCGATCCAGCGCTGACTCCTCTTTCCTTGCTGGCACTTCCTGTTCGACGGTGTCTGCATATGCGGGTGCACGCGTCCATAGACTTACCTTGTGTCTCTCCTCATCTCCCGGCCGAAAATCTAAACTGCGCATGCGCCCGCCCCAAGATGCTTTGCGGCCGCCCGAGAATTTTCACATTTGTAAAAGGCGAGCGCGCGGGGAAGACACAGGTAAGTTTAAAGCGCTTTTAAAGCTTATTTTTTTTACTTTTTGCATAACAGAACAATGCTTAGAAGTTACTTGTCGCGTACTTAAAGTGACATTAAAGCCCCCCCCCCCTCCCATGCTGCTTTAGGTACTTACCTTATCTGACGCCTCTGGATCCGATCATCTTCTTCATTCCACTGGTTTCTGACAGCCCCTCTTGCACTGGTGCTGATCCCTGATCAACCGCTGACTCCTCGGGTCATTGAATGTTTGGCGTCCGGCTGCCAGGCTGCATCTATTTAATGTAATTTCCCTTCTCTCCCCTCTGCCCTACTGCGCATGCGCCCGCACACTTCCACCTTCACAGCCATTCGTGAACCTTTGAATATTGGTCCACGGCCCTTTGTTGTCACGACTCTTTATTCCCGAGTACTCGAAGGGCGGACCCCCAGGACACAGAGTAGAGATAGCAGGACAGACACAGGAATTAACCCTATCAGTCCTCAGCCTAAGGGCAGCTTCATTCAACCCCCATCTTCTGAGACAAGGTTATCTGGCTAGGGATAAGCTTTAGGTATGCAGGAAAGCTGATAAAAAACTGGAAAAAACAAAATCAAGAGTAGACTGAAATCCAAAAGCTCTTTGTAAGTATTCTAATGTAAACAATGTGTATACACAATCACACAATTGCCTTCATGTGTCAGGAAATTGTTTCTGCTACTTGAGCTATACACAGATCAGCCCCGTCTGACATGACAGGAGACCTGATTTTCCTCTGCTGCAGTTTAATAACGCTTACAGGTCTTGTCCTTTCACCCAGCCGATGGATTAACTTATCTCTCTGTCACGCTGCTCTCTCCTCCTATCTGCATGCCTGATTGGCAATGTGTGCTGATACTCTTTCCTGTGATAATCAGCCTCTGACAAAGTCCATTGGTGAAACTGGTCCGGTAGGACCTAGAGGAACACATCATAATGTGTCAGGCATTTGTGCTGGGAAGGTAGCTTGCGGTTAGCAATGTGAGCTGTTATGGAATACTAGATTGCTGTAATATCTCGTCTTGAAAGGGAGATAGTAGGTCTAGCGAGTCAACAGTTTGGAATGACGGCACAAACCAGTTTGGCCTATTTATACAAGAACGATATATTTGGCCCTGGTGACCCTAGACGATGGGGGCGCTTTGGGTGCCTAGGCCTGTGTGCCTATCAGCTCCAGGGATGGCTGTGGGTGTGATTGGCGTGTATGGAGGGGACATGGTGACTAAAACCGTTCTTTCTAATTTTTCATAGTATAGTTTTTTGTGCTGGTTTTGTGTTTGTGTTTTGTGCATGTTTAATATCTTCCAAGTTTCAGGTTTTGCAGCTGTGGATTTTACCATTTCTGCTGTTTTTATAAAAACCTGATTTACCAGACGACTCTTCTTGTGGCTCATTACATAGTCCAATGATGAGAACTCAATCTTCTTGTATGTGTGTGAGTCAATCACTCTCCCTGTGCTTTTTCCCACAGTCTGAGAACATCTACAGTGCTCATTAAAGGAGAACTATGGGGTCATTGTTTTTCCCCATAGTTCTCCTTAGGGTAACGGGAGGACACAAACTAGCGTCCTCCCGTTACCCTAAGCTCAGTATACTACAGCTCGCGGTATACTGAGACGCCTCAGCCGGAGTGGATGCCGACATGGACGTTGGGATCCGCCCAGCTGCGTGAGTGACAGCTGGCTCTGCCTATCTAGAGGCAGAGCCAGCTGTACCCACCCCCTCCCCCGTCCGTTCCGCCAGTCAGCGCTGGCAGATCGGAGCGGGGAGAGGGGAATCCAGCCCCTTTCCCTGTCACAGCAGAGAACCGTGACAGGATCGAGAGGTGAGCGAACGCCGGTATGTGTTAGCTCACTTCCCGATCTACTGAGCTGACCTGTGACAGTCTCATGGTCACAGGTCGGCTAGAACTATGAGGTGAGTGGAAATCACTCATCTCATAGTTCTCCTTTAAGTAATGTAAGTTGATATTGTATTCTCAGGATAATTCTTGGATGATGCATTGCTCAGTAAATTGCAATGAACCATTTACATATCACTTAGCTGAACTTCATAAATCTGGTCTTAATCTTTTTTTGATTATATTGGACTTACTCTACAAAACACAACAATTGGCCTTCAGCTATTTTCTCCATTTTGTATACACAAGACTAATCAAATGGTTCTTTTTGTTCCTCTTCTATGAAGAACGAGCCCTCAATGATATCCTCGGCCGGGCCTCTTAGCTCTTATAAAGCTGACCATACACCTTGCGAATAACGGCCGATTTTCCAATGCGATCGCATTTTCGTCCGATATTCGTAAGGTTGATGGGCAGCGTACAACCGCAAATACTGTACAATTGATCGACTTTTGACTATCCAGCAGGTTAGAAAACTTTGGTCGATCGTACGATTTTCGCAAGGTTGGTGGCATTTCCGAACGTCAAAATTTGTACGACTTACACTGCACATTTGCAGACAAAAATACATTCGGTCGTTTACCGCAATTCGTCCAGGTGCTTTCTCCTAATTACCGCTGATCCAACTTTGCGATAATCAGGGCACGATGGGGCCGCAGTACGAACATCGTACGACGGTTCGATCATCGGACGAAAAATGTCGTCAGATGATCGCAAGGTGTATGGGCAGCCTAATGGTTTCAAGGCCCGTTCGGTAATATCATCCTCCTGCATGGCCGTTTGGGAAGCTGTGTTCTGCAGCTGGGAGCGAGCAGCACAGACACAGGTACTGTATGTTATTACATATGCGGCCACTTTTTTCCTAATGTTGGGGCATTTTGCTTTAACTCCTGAATTTAGCGTCTCCTCTGAAGCAGTCAGATATGTTAGAAAGTTTAGAGGCACATTGCAAGCAGGAGCGGATTTCCCACAAGGTCAACAAGGCCTGTCTTCGAGGCAGCAGGGAGTAGAGGGGCAGCAGAGTTGTGGAACTCCTATTGCCCGATGCCCGGGACATGCAGTTTTTTCTACATTTAGTCCTGCTTTGGGCAAGCAGCAGAGCTAAATGTAGAACGGGGAAGCTGCAGCTCATTTTGTACAAATGATCTCGGTGTTGCCGAGATCACTTGTAATTAGCCTGCTCGTCCATCCTCCCCTGCTACCCCCTCCTCCATGGTCTGCCCCCATCTCTGGCTGCCTCTACCTGCTGGCCGCCTCCCTCCCCGCTGTGATTTTCGGGGTCCCCGTCTCTTCTGGGGGGCCTGGGACAACAGCAAGGTAGTTCAGGACGGAGAGCGCCGTGTAGAGTGGAGAACGTCCATTCAATAAAGAGAACCTGTCACCTCCAAATGCTCTCACACAGGGCTTGTTAGCACGGGGAGGGGAGCGCATAGAGGAACCTGGCCTTGGGGCAGCAGAGAGGGTAGATCCGGCCCTGATTGCAAGTCAATAAAAAATTATTTATAGAAAACAAGCATTTTAAATACTCGATTTTTCTGAGCTGTTACCTAAAGTTTGAAAACTGGTAACAGGGTCTCTTTAAGTCACTAGAAAAAAAATCTAGTTTGGATTCATGTAATGTAGTTTGGAGTTCATTGAGATTGTTTTCGAGTCTACTAAATAACATATTAGTAGAAATAAATAACTATGATAAAATGAAAAGAGTTAATTCACTGTTCTCATATAATAGGAATGCAGTGCTATTCATTCTTCTAGCAGCCTCGCGTTACCCTCCCCCACTATGTGTCAGAGCACACACATAGGGAATACATGCTGTCATACTGTAACAAGACTACAACTCCCAGAAGCCTTGCAATATAAGGGACAGTCTGCAAACTACCGCCCCTGCATGGCCATTAATAGTTCTCCCCGCCGTGATTATTCCTGATTCTGCAAACGGAAGGAAGCAAAAAGGTATGAGTACAAGCGACCGTTAGTGTAGTCGGTGAAGGAGCTCGGTGCGTGCAAGGTGCGGTGTGTGTGAAGAGCGAGTCTTTGCAGACAGTCCCTGACTTTGTTGACGCCGCTGCTTCCATCGTAACAATGAACTGCCGCGGGGTGGACCCTCTGTTAGACAGGTAAGGGAGGTCGAGGGGCCCTTTGTGTGGAGGGGGCTGGGGCCCCTAGGAGAAGGAGATGTCTAGGAATATTAATTTCCCTGAGCTGGGGGAGGGACGGTGTGTGAAGTCTATGCAATCGCCGGGAAGTGCTGACAATTTGTAAATAAAGTTGGGGAGAGGCACAAAGATTTAAAAAAAAATGGTAGGTGGACCTGTGACAACCAAAGGCGACTATGTCTAATGTCACAAATGGCAGCATTGTACAACCGTGCATGTTTAGCCTATAGAGACAGAGACATGCTGGTGGTTTCATTGGCCCTCCTATGTACCGTACACATGTGAGATAGAGGCTTTTGATCAAGCAACTTCAACATTGCAACTGTGACAAAACTACAAATCGCATTATGCATCTGCCTCTTGGAGGCATTGCTGTGGCTGTCCTGGTCCTGCAATACCTCATGGGATTTGCAGTTCCACATCAGCTGGAGGGCCAAGGTTGCCTATCCCTGCCTTAGACTGACCGCTCCTCGGGGGCAGGGTCTGATGTGAATGCAGAATATGTAAAAGTGCTGACACTATATAAACACCTGTAATAGATAACTTACAGGAAGTTGTACTGTAGACATCTGGTTATCAGAGGAAAATATTAAAGGTTTGGGCCTGGTCACGCCTGCGCATTTTTCCTCCTGATGCCTTTTCTATTAGTGGCAAGCTCAGTGTGCGTTTTTAGCATGTATTGCATTGCCCTTGGTATTAAATGTAAACGTGACATATCGCACATCAGCATGTAATGTCATGCAATGATGTGTGCGGTGACATGTGTTGGCATGCTTCTTCATGCATGTGTTTTCATTCATTCTAAAGAGAAGCGTATCAAGGGGGAAAAAAAGGTGTGAATCCAACCTGAAACCAGATTCACCATGCCGACCGTACTCAACACCGACATTGACTGACACCATGCCTTCTATTGCCCTGGCTCTGATTGGTTAATCCAGGCTTAAGGCCCCATTCACACTAAGCGACACACCTTTTGGAGCGGATCCGCGCGGCCAGGATAGCGCGACTTTTGTGGCGACAGTAGCGCAACCTTCACCGTCGGGCTGCATTAAAAAAAAAGATCGAAAGATGGCGCAAAATCCGCCGAAAAAAGGGTCCTGTAGAAGCGACTTGCGAGAGCAACAGGTGACACGGAGCTGTACATGAAGACAGCGCCATTGAAAATCATTGGCCGGCGACTTCTCGTGATATTGCAAAAGACAAAAAAGCTTATGTAGCAAATTTTGCAACATGCGTTTGGCATTTTTGGCCTCCGTGTTTGTACGCATGGAAACGTGGAGGAATAACGCACATCTTCCTGATCGCATTTGGGTGCTCTTAGAAATGAATGGCAACTCAAGTGCGTTTCAAAATCCTCAACGGGTGGGCAAACGCAGGCTGTGGTGCAACTATAAATCCCATTAGGCTTGGTGACTTTGTGGCTCAGTGGTTACCACTTCTGCCTTGCAGCACTGGGGTCCACAATTCAAAGCCTGGGCAAGACACCAATGTACCCAGAGGAAACCCACACAAGCACAGGGAAAGCTCCTGGCAGATAGAAGAGAGTTTGCCCTGTGATTGTGTGGGTTTCCTCTCACACTCCAAAGACATGCTGGAAGGCTAATTGTCTCCAGTCTAAATCAGCCCTGTATGCACATACAGTATGTGTGGTATAGACTAGGGATGCACCGATACTTTTCGAGTACCAGTGCTGATAATTGGCAATTTCATGAGAACTAGCAGGGTTGCAGCGGTTGGAGCTGGGACCTGGCTCTGGCGCTCCCCCACTGTCCCGAAATCATTAGTCTGTATTGTTTTAGACTGTCACTAAACAAACATGTATCAGTACTTGTATCTGTGAGTACTTGGACAAGTATCAGTACTTGCACTTGCAAAAATGGTATCTGTGCATCCCTTTATTTATATTTATAAAAACAATATCATACAATAAAACAGAGATGTACAAATCCCGGGAGCTCCGTGTGCTCCTTACAAATGACAGCAGCCTCCTAACTTTGGAATTTTTCTCTAGTCTAGTCTTGGAGCTGGAAAAGTATCTGTACTTGTACCGAGTATGGTACTTGGTATCAGTGCATCCCTTAAATAGACCTTAGATTATAAGCTCCTTGAGGGCAGGGACTGATGTGAATGTGCACTGTGTAACTGCGCTATATAAATACCTGTAATAAATAAATAAAACCTAAGTAGAGAAATCTAATGTATAGATATATATTGCATGGTATTTTTACCTGATGATTCTGTCAGTGTTCCTTCTGTCTGGGATGGATGTTTCCCCTTTGAGGAACAAAGCCTTCTTGTTATGGAAGTTAAAGCGTTATTCAAAGTAGTATTAAACTCACAAACTTTTTTGAATAATGAGTCCGGATCAAACAAATATACACCCACCGGCCACTTTTTATTTTAGCCCGTGGACGTGCATCAAAACAAACTTCCCCCTGTGAACAAAAAAAGTGCAACCGTGAAATCACAGCACACAAAAATGTGCACAAGGGTGCAAGGTCCTTCAAAAGAAGGGACCTACTTTCCCGACCCCCCGGGGCGCAAGGCTCCTGACAGGGGTTGAGACTGTTGGTCCACCAACCCGAAGGCTGGTGGACCATTTCCGTCGGGGACCTGCCGAAACAGGTCCCACACAGTACTAGGCAGGGGGGATCTCCCGAAGAGAAACCCCCCTCCTGGGTGGGAGGAGACAGAGAACCCCGTAGGAGGCACAGAATCTCCTCCCAGCATCAGGAATAGTCCCCGAAGAAACCTGCACCTTCAGCAATCTGTGGGTCAAAAAGCTTTTGAAAAAAAAGCCAATCGTGCATAGAGTGCATAAGTAATACTAAAGTGCCAGTGCACCACGCTGACAGGCCTTAGGGGCCGAGTGCAAAAAAATTGCCCCGGACTAGCCATAAGGCCTGTCCAAGAGGCGTTGTGCAGAAAAATGCAAGGTGGTGTGTGACCAAGTGATCAGTGAGTCAATGTGGGGTCCCACACCCAAGTGACTTCCTGAGCACCCCAGGGACGCCACCCCCAGGGGGCACAACACCACGGGCTTCTGCCGCCCCCAACCCTTTAGCCTCGACCAAGCTTCGTATCCATTCCCATCAGGAGGCAGTTCACCTTCAGAGATCCCTCCGCCGGAGCCCACCCATTAACTAGGGTCGAAAACTCAGAGGGCCTGGAACCTCATCCGGCTCCCTACCAATTACGCCAGGAATTTACATGGCCGTCCATCTGCCCCACACAGGTGACAGCGGCCGTTCTATTCCCGACAACTGATAAAAACAGATACTACACTTGATCTTAGCCAAAAGGCCACTGTATTAGGTGCACCTGTTCAATTGCTTGGTAACTGTTATAATTTTAGACACTTCATATTTCCAAGTGTCTTCAGGTGATTGTATAAGGAACTTGCTGAAACGGCCAGTTCGTTCAAAATGCAAAAGTATACAAAAATATGTAGATAGATAATAGTCCAATACAAAAATATTCAAATGAATAAAAGAAAAGTGTTTGTAAAAATGTAGCAAAGTATGTTAAATACCGTATTTGCCGGCGTATAAAAGACGACTCGGCGTATAAGACGATCCTCCACTTTTTGTGTTAAAATATAGGTTTTGGGCTATACTCGACGTATAAGACGAGTATAGCCCAAAATAATGTTTAAATGCACCCACTAGGGATGTCCCGATGCCACTTTTTCAGGCCCAAGTACAAGTACTTCCCCTCATGTACTTGCCGATACCAATTACCGATACTTTTTCTTAAAGGGACAGGTGACTTTAAATGATCCATAGTACAACTACATGTTATGTACTATGGATCATGATTTAACCTATTCATGTTAGCAGGGTAGAATTGTAACTCTATTGCTGGAGTGTAGTGGAGGTGACATTAAAGGATAATTTTTTCTCCCCTCCCCCCAATGTAAATGTCAGCACTTACCTTAAATGATGCCTCTTAATCCGATCTTCCTCTTCTTTCCTGATGTTTTCATCTGTCCATCTAGCGGTGCGGCGGCTCTCCGATCCAGCGCTGACTCCTCTCTGCTTGCAGGCACTTCCGATCCAGCGGTGTCTGCATGCGGGTACACTTGTCCAAAGACTCACCTTGCGTCTCTGCTCGTCTCCCGGGCGAGAATCCGAACTGCGCATGCGCCTGCCCCAAGATGCTTTGCGGCCGCCTTAGCAGTTTCGGATTCTCAGACGGGAGCATGCAGCGAAAACAAGGTAAGTTTAAACCGCCGTTAAAGCGGGTTTTGTTTTTTAAAAAACTTTTTGCATATATCTACTGCTTGATAGCAGTAGATATAGGCAAAAAACCCCAGAGTTTTTAGAACCCCTTTAAGAATGACTCTGCCCCAATATATCAGTCTTAGTCTTTCTCCCGCCTAGTGTAATCCAAACTGCGTAATGTGAATAGTATAGCTATTGTATTCACGTACAAACATCTGTTACAAATATCTGCATGTCATTAACTGAAGCATTCTGTACCTGTCCATCATTCTACATATATTGATGGTTAGGATGCCAAGAGATAGTAAAATAAACAGAATATAGCTTATATAGAAGTATCAATTACATATGCAGCCTAATTATCCATCCTCTGGAATGGTGACCTAGGACCTTTCCCGTGACCTTTCTCAGCTTCTCAGACTTAAGAGGAATAAGCACATCTGGAGGCAAATCAATAACAAAGATTCTCTTTCACGCACTATATTCTAACACTGAGAATATCTAGGGCCTACTTGAATAAATGAAATATATAACTATTTATCATGTTGTAAATGATAATTATGATTTAAGGTTTCAACCGAGGTCAATGGTGTAGAGGCCAGTGGTGTAACACACATTACATAGGTCAGCAGTCTAACGCACAGTACAGAGGTTATCGATCTAATGCACAGTGCAGAGGTCAGCAGTATGACGCACAGTAAAGAGGTCAGCAATAACGCAGAGTACAGAGGTCAGCAG